GTATAACAACCGTATGATTAACGGCGACAAAATGACCATGTGACGCCACTTTGTATGCTTAATTGAACTAATGAATGGTCAAGAATTTCTTATAGAATATTAAATGTTTTGCTTTTTTTTGTGTGATGTGAAAACAAAGCAAATAAATATTTTATATTTTTTATCGAATTTTTATAATGGAGATGAAGGCCTATCTCCTTTTCTTCGCACAGATGTATACGCCTTGGGGTTCACTCGGAGTGTTAGTATAGAGAACATTTTTGTTTTGTTCTTATTCACTTTGTTCTGTTTGGTAGGCCATAAAATTTCCAAAAACAATGCCCGAGCAATGAAGTCAAAGTGTCTTTGGCGACATCAGTTTCTTGCTATATTGTGGGAGCTGCTCCCAACCATTTAGCGTTTCGGATTTTTGCATTATTAACAAAAAAAAAAGTACGTAAATATACATATATATATAAATAAAGAAAAAATTAAAAAAAAAAAAAAAAAAACAAATAAAATAAAAAAAGAAGACATTACCCGCTGTGGCACCATAACAAAGTCAGTATTATTCAGTCAGTTGCTCCTATTGAAAATGTTCTCAATTTTTCGATTTTTCGTTCAAATCTGAGTTAACTGAGGCCAAATAGGAGTCCAGCTGTGCCATAACTAAATGTATGTAAAAGCGTCAAGTTCACTGTCATATCAAATTGCCGTTGTTGCGCTGCTATTGTCACTGGTTTGCTTTAATACACTCGCGCGCGCTCTCGCTCCCTTATGTATATATCTTATGTGTGTACATTTTTTGATTTTATTTAAAAACAATGACACCCAACCAATGGGGAAAGAAAAAAAAAAAAAATGCAAAAAACATATAAAGGAAGACGAAAAGAACAGACGTAAGATATACTTCTCTAAGTATCCAGCGGTGTAAAGCGCATAAAAAACAAAGGTTACCTACTTCCTCAACGTGTGGTTGACAATCAACGGCTTTTCGAGCCTGCTTAGCTTAGCCAAGAGGCACTCGCTCTAAGCTTAACTCGAGCTTAACCGAAAACAGTTGCTAAGAGTTAAAAAGTTTATATTCATTTCTTTTTTCATAATTTTCAAATAAAATGTTTGTTATATCACTTCTTAGCTTAGGTGGAGTGTTGTTCAATTTATATATATATATATTTATTTTTTATATGGATTTGCTTAACAAGCTGTTATGAATGTCATAAATTGTTATAAATATTTTTTATTTATTTTTTTTTTTTTTATATTATATTGAAACACTGTTATTTTCACAGAAGGCAGAATATTCATATAACCGTATAGACAGACAGACAGACATTAATATTTAAAGGCAAGCGCCAGCAGGACAAACATTTTTATTTGCCTCATTTACTTAGCGAAGCATATGTAGCCGCCACATGCTTTTGCATTCAGATGTGTCTGCAAAGGGATTATAAACGTCTGGGTGCTGCTGGTATTTGTCGCTCTTTCCTGTCACTGATATATTCCTTAATACAATACAAGCTCATAATTGTAGGCTTCTTAAACTGTTGAAATTTAGGCTTCTGCGTGTGCTGGTTACTGTGATTTCTTTTCTTTTTAATATTTATTTGTGCTTTTGTTTGTTTTAAACGCAACAGAAAAACAAAAACCGAAAAACAAAAAAATGATAAAACCAAGCGATGATTAAGCCTCACAGCACGCATTCTTGGCTGAAATTGTTTCGAGCTTTTCTCAGAATTCATTTAGACCACAGTGGCCAACGTCAGGCTATAAAAACTTAAAATTTAATATAAGATTTTTCTTTTTAATTTATGAAAAAAAAAAAAAAATTCAAATGGATAGTAAAATAATAATAATAAAAAATTTCAAAACAATTATTTTTATTTTATGAATGAAAGCAAATCGCTGCAAAAACGTGGTAATAGTTAATAAAACCGAAAAAAAAATTAACACAAAATTTTTTTTTGTTTAATCTACGCAATAATTAGTAAAATTAGGAATATTTCAAATAAAACTTGTTTATTTTAAGAAAGTAAATGGAAAAAAAATAATAATAATTAGAAAATAAAAAGAGAAAAATATTGAAAAAACATTAGAAAATAAATATTAAGAAAATGTGAACATTATTGATTTAAAAAAAAAATTAAACAAAATAAAACAAAAGAATACAAAAAGCGTAAGAAGAACTACATACATATACATGCATTCATAGACGTATAGGAAAACGTTCCTCTCAACAAGGAACTATCTAAGCTTTCGAAGACTATTGAATTTCATGCGTGCACGTTACGAGGAAAACTGATTCGCAATATTTTCCCTAGGATGCAGACATTGGTCCTTTCTTGATTTTCTCTTAGATTTGTTTTCAAAGTTGAAGGATTTTGTGAAACAACCAAGAAATCAAGTTCGGGATTTAACTTCTTGATGTCTTACATACATACGAGGTCTTATATTTCCATTCAAATATACAAAATGTCTTGATGGACAATTTCAAAAATGAACACTACGACTGAAACAACCTCTGATGAGATGCAAAGCACGTTTCGTGTTAAAGTGATAGAACTTTGAGTAGCAATAACTTTTCCAAGTTATCTTTTGTCATCTGAGATAACATTAAACCCTCATGCAAAAGCTAACGTCACAACTTGTCTTCCTTAAGTACTAGTAGGCAAAGTGGCACAAAATTGAACTGATGCAACCGGAAAAATCAAGTGCGGCCTTTATGCGTATATGCTGGAAATTTATATTTATTTATTTTTGTACCCTACACGATTTGAGGTACAAGGGTACATAAAGTTTGTGCGGACGCATGCTATTCTCGAAAAAAGTGATAGTAGACAAGCTTTTTATTATACTGACGCTTCCTTGTCTGTCGGTCCGACCTGCTTTTTTGTGTTCTACTTGCAGGCTGTCATTTTTAAGAAATTTTGATAAAATTTAGTACATTACCGTATTTTGACCCAAAGGCGAACGCTACCGAAAATCGTTCCCTTTTTCGACTACTTCGCTTTTAAAAAACGAAAGATATGCAGTTTTGCTACTGGAGAGATAGAAGAGAATTTTGTACAACAACTATCAGAATCTACTACTGAGAATACCATTTATGCCATGTTATCATAGTAGTGGAATTCATTTTTGTGTCATTCTAGAATACCAAATGAACTATGATTGGCATTTTCTAGTAAATTCCAGAATTAAACGCTAAAATTTTTGTGTAATGAAAATTTAACATATCCCTGGCGTGTTACTATTTTATGATTTCTTTATGATTTCCATTAAATTACAGCAAACTTTATAAAAAACATTATATACTATAAGATGGAGAGAGAATTATACATATATATAAAATTAAGATATAAACTTTTTTTATACAATAATATTTAATTTAAGATGATGATGCGCGGAGTTCAACTCGATAATTTATCAACAATAGAGTCGACAAAATGTACAGAGCATCAACTCTGGATTACGCGTTCATCATAAAGTTTGTTTAAGGATCAATAAGAACCAATAGTATGCAACGGACAACTAATTTCGTAGATAGTTAATAAATAGTTAATTAAAAGCGCATTCATTTACGGCAGCCATTAAAAAATACCAGCAAAAGATGTATATGAACTCGGGTACAAGCACGCAACACTGACACAAAAAGTATTAACCAAATATAATGCAAACTATAATGCAAAGATTCGTCATAAGACGCATGCAACTATTTTAACTGGCAGTCTCATAAACGCTTTCACTTACCTCCTGAGAGTAAATAACAAAAATCACTGAAATGTTAGCGCAAAATGCGCAAAGGAAAGGAGAGCTCAAAATTACCCCTGCATTGTGGTAATCAAACGAGAAGGATATTAAGCTTAAGAAGGATACTAAGCTTTCTCTGAGCAAAAATGATGGCAAAATGCCGTTAAAGGGTTTACTTCAGAAGCCAATCTTTCACTTTCTCAGGAAACTGATCAGAAGGAAACCATGTATACAGGGAGGTAATGCCCCGTTCTAGTTCAAGTAAGACAAGCCGAAGAAATTGTTTTCGAATTCTTTCAACCACATATAGCAATTAATCTATCTGTCCTTAACTAGTCTATCGCTCGGCACATGTATAAACAGCTATCCGGCCTTCTTATGTTGCCTTTTCTTTTATAAGAAATCTAAAAGGCCGTAATATAATTAAATATTTAATATAGTAAAAGAATGCGAAGTTTTCCAGATAACAAAGGAAGAAACCTAACGGGCATGATATTTATCGATAGGGCATACAGCACACGGGTGGTGTCTAAGCAGACACCAACAGAGGGACGGATGTAAATAAATCTAATGGTTATCTAATCCACGAGAATATATTTGTAGGCTATCCAAAGTGTTGCTACGCGTGTCATAAACGAAAGGGCAAATATAACATAAAGCATCTCTCAGGTGACGGACATGAAACAAGGGAAAAAAATTTGTTTATAGATTGACCTACGATCTACATATTCTTAAATTAACCCACGATCTACAGCAGATATGGGGATTTGAAATTTGCTTTAACCAATCGAAATTTAGAAAGAGAACTAAACGAAAGGATAAATTTCGATTATAAAAACAGGAGAAACTTGAAAAGTATTTTATATATTAAGCATCGAACCTTTATTAGAAATCGATTGGACATTTCTCAAATATTCAAAGTTTGGAGAGAAAAGGGTTGCGATTCGTTTACTGACATTTAAGGTGAAAGACAACGAACGTTTATTTTAACTTTTCTTTTCATTGCTTCTTCTTATTAGGACTTGTTATGTTCAATATACTGCAGGCTCCAGACAATGACGAAAATGTTGTTGTAGCTGACAATAGTCAGTTAGTAAGATATGTATTTAAAAGAGAATTTAATGTAAAGTCGACGTCATATCTATATACGGCATGCGGCAATGAAGAAAAATAGCTTTTACAATTTTGGAAATCTCTTCTTCTTCTATTTAAGAAAGTGCGCAACACAAAACCCACAATGATTTTTAATATTTTATTCACATTTTTATTTGCAGATTTTGATTTACTGACGAGCAAGAAGTTCGCCAATCAACTGACTACAAATAGCGTCTCATACACGCCCACGTAGCCAATAGCGTTGTTATTATTTTTTTACTATTACTACGTCGACCATATCTGTTTTGAGAAACTTCAGTAACAACAATAAAAACAAAAGCAACGACAGCAGCAATAATAGCAGTTACCGTAGAAAATTATAAAAAAAAAAAAAAAGAAATAAAAACGACAACATTAAAAGGCGTCTAAATCACCATTTGAAAGTAACACGTCAGTCTGTCAGCAGCTGTACAGCTCTTATCTTTCGGAAGACAACTAACAATAACAGCTTGAATTATTCATTTTTTTTCTAATTTTTATGATTACAATCCGACCGACCAACTTTACTAGCCAATCAGTTTTCTATTTAAGAGAGCTAAACAAGAAAAAAAAAAAAAGAGGAAATTTACCGACAGCATAGGCTAAAAAAGAAAAAAAGAAAGAAAGAAAGAAAGAAAAAGAAACAAAAGCAACAGAAACACAAACGCGCATTACATTTATACGTATAACGAAAACAATAATACTAACAACAATAATAATAATAATAATAATAATAATAATAATAATAACAACAGCGCCAACAATAATAATAACGACAATAAAAAACTGAAAAGTACATAAAGTGATATCAAATAACTAAATAAAACTGATTAAAGCCTTACTCCCCCGGCCGGTCACCTTATATATATATATATATATATATATATATATATATATATATATATATTTGTTTGTATATATACATATATAATGTATATATGCATATAAAGAACAAGACAAGAGGAAAAATAAACAAATCAACGGAAATATACATACGCACGCAGTATTAAACTTTATCCGCTCGCCGCGTTTTACTTATACTTAAGCAGCGAAGAGAGCGTAATTCTTTTTTAATCTATTACTCTGTGCGAGAAGAGCGAGTAACTGCGCCGCCGAGTGTGTACTATTTGAGTAACACTAACTAACTGTAGTGTATACAGTGTAAGGTTCTGTTGTATTGCATTGTAATCGTGTGTGTATTCGCGTGAAATCTAAAAAAAAAAAAAAAAAAAAAAGGAAAAAAAACTCAATTTGTCACAATGTTCGCTGTAATGAGAATTGAAAATGATGACTGCCGGTCTGACTATCGTCGCAAGATGCGTCCCAAGTGTGAGTTCATTTGCAAGTATTGCCAGCGGCGTTTCACTAAACCCTACAATCTAATGATACACGAACGCACCCATAAATCGCCAGAAATCACATATTCGTGTGAAGTTTGCGGTAAATATTTTAAACAGCGCGATAATCTAAGACAGCACAGGTAAGTTATGAGTCATTAACTATTTTGCATATATTTGTTGTGCTTTTTATTATAATAATTTTTTTTTATTTTGTTAATTTTGAAAATTTTCAAAAAAAAAAAGGTGATCGCAAATGTAACTTTTAGTGTCAAGTACTTTACGTGTAATCGATTGCAAAACACAAAAAAAAAAGAAAGAAAAAAAATTTGTTATCTAAAAAATAAGACTTTTTTGCTTTGCTACTCCGTCTGTTTTCACAAAACAAAAAAATATAAAATTTTACAAATATCTTAAAAATGGCAAGCATCAGCGTTCAGATCTTAAGTCAGTTTAGTACGCGCGGTCGCAATTTCCTTCGAAACTCAAAATTTGTTATAATACAAGACAAACTCAGAGGTTGCAATTAAAACAACTTTTAATAGTTAAGCTTAGCTTGGCAAGCATCAAGTGACACAGAGGCTCACATTGACGGACTCGATTAGTGTATGTTTCGTGTTGAGATTAGAAATTTTCGATTTGGCTTTGAGTTGTTCGGTGTTTATCTAAGAAATTATCAAAGAAGGTCGTCATCAAGTCAAGTCCGGCAGGTAAAAACTGATTACGGTTGCTTGAGTTATTGAGCCGATCGCAAAAGAAACGAAAAATACAAATATCAGACATTCTCATACAATTGCTTTTCGCAGAAATCGGCTGCCACGCCCTTCGTGCGTCCGTATCAGGTGTAAAAATAAGTCGTGTGTTTGTTTTTTAAACAAAAAACCGCTCATTTAATGATTGTTTTTACTATAACCTCTTAAAGAAATAAATTCTTGGATTAAAGCGATTTGACCACTGGCCGCTGTAATATTTCCTATCTCGCTAAAAGAATATCAATTCTGAGTCGTAAGATCCTTTGGGGCTACACACATAAGCGCCTATTTTATGGGCGTGATTCCAAGAATGAAGACGCAACTAAAATGATCGTCAAATTCTCAGTGGAAGCGTAAACTGTTAAAAATAAAGAGGAATGTCTGGCGAATACCGTGGTAATCCTAGCACATCCCGTTCCAATGCTGCAAACATTTTCTGAAGAAGTTTTTCAATATGAGATCGAGTATTTTCACGCTGAAAAATCGATTTATCCGATCCGGTATAATGAATGATCCTTGCAGTCTTATCCGTGGCTCCTCGTACCATTCCTCAACGACAGCCGTTCAACTTAGGCGACGTTGTTAATGTTTCCAAGGCCTATGTTTTGTTTGTTCCGAAATTATTCCATTTCCTTTGTTCATGACCGTAAAGTTTTAATATAGGTGTGTGAGGGTTAAAGCCAGTGCTTAAACATATGTTCACACACACTGTCTTGTAAAGAAACCTATAACGATTCACTAATAGTCTCCCGTAGTTCGTTCCATTCCTCATGGTTTTTTGTTTCATCAAGCACTTGCTTCCTTAATCAATTTGCAAAGAGGGTACGAAAAGCAGTGAAAACAATAAAAAAGGAAAAAATTTTTCGTAGTATGAAATATTTAGTACGTGAAAGGACGAAAAACATTTCATGAGTTCAAAAACTGTAATGTCGGGTCTAGCTCGACATAGAAGTTGATGTAGGATAAACACGACGTCGTCACATAGTTGACATAGGAGTGGTTAAGGTTAATCCATTCGTTTAGTTTACTATATTTACGAAATTTCTAGGCCTTACGCTCTCTCTCGAAATTCTCTCTTCTTCCATGCCATATAACGTACGGAAAAAAGAAAGAAAAAGCAATAAATTTTAGTACCCGTTGCCTAAGGTTAGTTCTAAATCTGTCGTGCGCCTTTCTCCTACCACTGAAAACTATGCTCAGTAAAGAAGAAAAATTCTATGTAACAAACCTATATTTTTGTTACTTTGCATAAAGAGTACATTAGTACAGGTGCTGGAAAGCGCAAGTTGTGTAAATATGTGGTGCTTGCTGAGGACCCTAGAACATCTTGCCTCTAATACATCTTCTAAAGATTTTCACAATTATATGTCGATATAAGGAGCGGCTGCAGTCTATTTTTGTTTTGAATCTACGCGTCGCAGGTATTGAGGTATTTTGGCAAAGCTTGGAACGTATCCTGCTGATCAATCAGGATATCAATATTTGATATATAGGGTATTTAAAAAGTCGGTCTTGTCCGACTACAACATTTTCACTTGTCTTTAGCATTTCTTTTTTCTTCTTCGATAATCATTTATTTTACTTTTAAGATAAAAACTGAAAAATAAGAGGAAAACGAAAAAGCGACGGCTAGTTTTGTAATATGAACGGTTGATGAGGAAGTTTTGATAATTTTTCTTAAGGCATTTTAGTTGTTAATGTCGAGGCGGTTTGAATAGAGGACTCAGACTAAATTTCATATAGTTGCGTTTTAATTTTGTTCTACATCTGTGATCTTAGGGCTTAAATGAAAACAGGCGGACAGGATTATAAATATATCCAAGACTCAGGTTAATAAATAATATGTACATTTTAAGGAAAAGAAAGGAATATCTGATTCTGGCCTTGTTCTAAATTGATTCGCATTCGCATTTAACCAAACTATTGCGTTAGGGCTGGCTTCGCCTTATTTTCTTGGTAGCGTGAACATATGCAGTTTCAAAGAACTCTTGTGTTTAGTTTTTTCATTCTCTTGCAATCAATTTCTCTAAGATTTTTACGCCAATCAGTATCCCCACCTTGTGATGCGTTTGACGACCAATTTGAAAGTTTCAGATAAAATGGGGAAATCTCTCTTCAGTCTTAAGTCGCTTATATGCAAGCGTGTAGCACTTATATAATAATGCATTTTAAAAGAATTTAGATAAAAAGGAAATCCAAGAAATTTCATTTTTTTTCGAATCCAAACTAGTTATGGTTAACTGAGAGGCGATGACAAAGCTATTATATACTCTTTAAATTCGTTGTACATTTACATACGACCTTGGCTTCAAAAGCAAAGACTTACAACCATGTACTCCATTTAAAAGAAAGGTCAGGGCAAAGAAGATTCTACGCCTTGGTATATAATGCCCTAACTGGCTTGCGAAAATACATAGCCGTCGAAATAAAGTCCTCTTAAAGAGATTCTTATCTACATTGGATTTATTCTCTGCGGGAAGGTAGGTCCAGTGTAGAGGTATGCCTCTACTCGAAAGACTAAAAGCTAGAAATATGATACATAACATTTTTTGTTTGTAGTTGCACTTTGCGCTTAAATATACTTATCCGTACTTTATTTTTATTGAGTTAAAAGCCAAGGTTCTTGTACCTCCCGTGAGTCATTCTTTTCCGTGAGTGACAAGCGGAGCTTTATCGATCACCTTTTTCCCATTTTAGTCTTGATTTGTAAATAAAAAAACTAAAAATAAATTTATTTGTATTGAAAGAAATCAATATTTATTTTACACATGAAAACAATGATCTTTCTTTACTCCTTTTAGATGTAGTCAATGTGTCTGGCGATAAACAGAGCACTTCACCGCGCACTCTCCTCTATCTTCTAGAATCTTCGCTTACTCTACTTACATGAACACTTGCACTAAATACCTAAATGAAAAAACTGCAAGAGACACTGTCTTTTTATAAGGAATTTGCACTAAATATTGAAAGTATTATATATTACAGCCACCGTCACCATCACCATCAAGCACTAAGAACATAAAGCACCTTAATATACATTTTAAACAAAAAAAAAAAAAAAAAAAAAAAAAAAAAAAAAATTTTAAAAAAAAAAATATAAAAAAATTTAAAAAAAAAAATTGTTAAAAAACTTTTACATTTTTGAGGAAAACCTAATGCCACACGTCATTGTTTTCTACAATTATACGGTTTATGTGGTTTAACTGGCCCTTTGTAAAAAGCAAGGTATACCGGAATGCAACATATGTTAGTTGTTAAACAACTTAAATTACAATAGTGAGGGATGAGAAGCAAGTGATGGTAGTAGTAGGGGAGTTGGCGGTTGTGGTGGTGGTGGTGGTGGTGGAGGTAGTAGTGTTGGCGTTGGTACGGGGTGATTGTAATATCGTTGGCTTAATTATTATTTTGGTCCTGTACATTATGGATGTTCTATGGCTGAACATAAATGGTAGACGGCATACAAGAAACACAATATTCTTCAAACGTAATGCATTTTAAATCAGATTGCACTTCTTCGAATACACTTGATCGGTATTCAAAAGCAAGAGTAATTATTGGATAAACTATATTTACAAAATATATAATTGATATTCCGCTTCGTCTCCCACACGCTATATGTGATGCGCAGGCGCATTTTATCTAATTAAAGAAAACAAGAAAAAATAATAAAACCGAGCAGTTTATAAACTGTGACATTTTTATATGTATCCTTGCAGAGCCATACATCCATAATTAACAAATAACAAAGGAACATAAAATATTAAAGACATTATTATTATGATCATCATCATTATCATCATCATCATCATCATCAACATAATCATCAGAAGCCGATAAAGTTTTCTTTAAGTTTAATCATCTTCGAGTTATTGAACGACAAATTTACTCCTCTATACATATGTACTACATATATCTATATACATGTGTATATATATATATATATATACATAGATATAAAAAGTATTACTTTTCACTTGCAGATCTTCACATTTCCGCCTATTCTTTAATTATTACTAATGAATAAATTTTTTATATATTTAATATATTTAAATATATATGTCATAAATATCTATGAAAATGATCAAAAATATTAGTTTGGTTTCAGAGAAATAAAAAAAAAATATATAGGTATATGGCAAAAAAAAAAAAAAATTGTTTGTAAATCTTATAAAAAGCAATTTATTACATACATATATTAAATGAAAACTTCATCTAGTATTTCAGGCAATAATTTTATATTTATTTGGCGAATATTAAGATCGTTTTAACTTTGAGCGCGTAATTATAAGGTTTTTTCATTTAAATTCTGTTCTCTTACATAAAAAAAGTATATATATACATAATACTTAATACATTTTGATTCTTTATTTAAATTTTAAACGATAAATAATGCAAATAAATTTTATTAAAATAGATTAAAATAAAAAATAAAAAAAAAATCTTTAAAATTGTTTTATTCTTTTCCTGAGTTGTTTACGAGAATAGGACTGGACTGCATTTTAAAGGTATTGCCTGCCGCCTTTTAAGGAAATTTTCGCTCCCCATAAATCTAAGCAAAAATTGTAATCGTTTAGAATAAGGTTGGCCCGCTTGATTTCCCGAAACAAAATTTCAACATTAGATGTCGTCATCCTGTTCGACCCCATACGCAGGCGAGCTTTATCCAGTTTCGCTTACTGTATAAAGAATAAAGTTGCTTTCGTCAGTATTAGCTTTGCATATGAAGTCATTGGATAAGTTTGTGCACGTTTCAACGTTCAACTTAGACTTTAAGAAGCGAAAAATTAAAGAATAACACATCATTCAATAAGTCCGCAGGATTACATAAAGATGTAGATTGGCCGTTGGTATGACTTTTTGATAGTAGCAACATAGCATTTTATGACATTCCGATCATTCATTTTTCAATAATGCTCGACATGAAATTCAGGCTTTTCCATTTTCCAGTTTAATCTACAAATGCATGGTTGATATGTCATGAAGTTTCATAACTTAATCTGTTGTAATCTTCATTGCATTCTATTAACGTCTCTTAATTATGTAATGGCTTGTTGATGCCACTTTTGAAGAAGAGCTTGCATATAAAAAATGTTTATCAAATGGCTTTGCACAGATTCCTCGAAATACCGAATTCTGTCACTCGAACTATTCTGTTCAAAACTGAAGCAAGGGATATTCGAAAGGTGCAATGTTTGGACGATATAGTTGATGCTCGAGAATTTTCTTTTGCAACTTGTAAAATTTCGCTTATATTTTTTCAACGATGCGTAGTCGAGCATTGTCGTGCTATAATATTATGCGCTTGCGGTTAAGCAAAATCGTGTATTATTCCCGAATAGTTTCATCGAGTTTCGCGAGTTACTCACAGCACATGTATACCGTGTTTGTTATTCGCTACATGCGAATAGCTTGAGGTTAATAATTCTCCTAGAATCCCACCACACTTGAAGCAGCATTTTAATGGAATACAGGCCAGCTTTTGTAACAGATGTCTCAACTTCATCCCTCTTTTCAAATCCGCTTAAGCTTTGTTATACAGCCTGTCGCCAGTCGATCCATAAAAAAAGGTATTTATGTTAACATGCGTGGAGAGTGTTGTTATGTTTAGCATGCATGCATTTTTCAGTTAGAAGATGGGACGTCCACCATTTATCAGGCTTGGAAATACACTCATCCCGTTTTAAATTGGCCCGTTCGAGTTATCAATTTTTACTTATTATTCTTGAATTTGCTTTCATTGAGCTAGGAAATGAACTCAATGAATGCACTTGCATCGTGGATCATGCAAAATATTTTTTCGATATTACAATTTTCACATGCGATACAATGCCATGCAGCAAGCTGTACGTTGGACTGCAAAAAAACACATACAATCAAATACCAATTTAACATTTAAGTGCGTGACGCATATTACAAATGTTTGCCGTCATTATGTTTTTAGGGCTTTACTCAGGCAATCAATGTCAGTGTTAGAGGACTAACCAAGTTGGAGTAGAAATCTTTCAAATCACTTTTTAATTATTCAAGACCACCTTCATCTACAAAGCCATAATTCGAACTGTACGCTTTCGTTTATAAAACTAACTGACGCACCTGTCAACAGATAGCGCTACTAGAGTGGGTTATACTTAATCGGTCCTATTAAAAACGGACTTACAAGCCTAGTTGCTCGTTAAAGTCAAGCTTTTTTTGTTTCTGCGAACACTCATTCAGGCGATGTCCCCTATACGTGTGGGCGCAATGGTGGCCAGGAAGGATTGTAGGAAGTAGATTGAAAGAGGATATACCATTGCGATGGGACAGGTCGACAAGTAATGGTAGTGGGCCGTGCAGTATGGGGGCACCGCTGGGACATATGGGTGAGAACGCTGAGAAAGCCACAAGGTCTTGTTGAAGGACTTGATTGGTAGACAAATTCCTATTATCCCTTTAGAACACTTGTCTTTCACTTATCCTTAGCATTATTACGCAAAATTTAATAGATTCCACTTCTGCGAAGATGCTAGTAATAAACCAAAAATTCAACTAAAAGAGAAAAAATTGACGAAGACTCTACAAGAGATACTAAAGTGAAATAGCTAAGGGTATTTGAAAGGGAATCTTATGAATTCTTTAAACGAAATAATAAAACATGTTTATGAGGAGCGAAGAGTGAAGCTAGAGGAACTTCATATATGGGCACGTTCTCTGCGAAAAAAATAGGAGGAATATCTGCGGTTTACATCTAATTACTAGAATACTGCACAAGCGTCGGCAAATTTTTTTATTAACTGCCTTTACAATCTTTAATTTGTTCGCCTTTGTTTTCTTATTAAATGTCTGATATTTAAACATATTTTAATTATTTTATGACATATAAGTACATATTTACGTATTTGGATTTGGGTTTTCTCAAGAAAAGTTACTTTGATGTTTTATTGCATGGCGATCGTTCGTTCATACAAAAATCTCTTCATTTGAAGTTATATTCCAATAAAAATAAAAAAAAATCATAAACAATTGTTATATCTTGAGTGTGACAATATTTGAAAGGTTTCACTGATGATGTATATGCTCACGTTTCTAAGTAAACTTAACTTGTGATAAAATATTTTTGAAAATAAATTTGCTTTGAAGGCGGCGCTGAAATTGTTGTCAAAGGAAATGGGAAGATCCGTTATGTCTCAAAATATGAATAAATATTTCTCAACTTTATTTGTAAATTACATTTAATTCTCTTTTTGCACGACTTAAAAAGAAAAAGAAATCCCTTTTTACACGAGTTACACGATTTTTTTTTTTTGATTGTTCTAAGATTATGTTCATTCTCGCTCCTCATGCATGGTAACTTCGAGTTGTATTTTTCACAATTCAGTTAAATTATCCCGATTGTAAGCGGGTATGACTGAGATTCCGCTAATAATGCAAAGAGTGAAGGCGTAACGTATTTTGCACACAGTTTAGTTTGGCTTTTCAAGGTATAACTTATTTTCTATGATATGTTTAATGAATTAAAATCTGTATGCATCAAATAAATTTTAAGTGAATTTTGTAATATTGTTTAACGCACTTTACAGTTGCTGGGAATATTAAAGCCGCCTGTGAAATGGCATGTAAGTTGTTTTTGTATTGTGTTTTGTATTGTACCGTCAGTGGTGACGAAAATTAGCTTCATTTTGGAAAGAGAAGATGAACAGGCATAGTTCTATCCAGACGAACGAAATGGCGATAATACTATGATGGCTTGAAAATACCAAGTTTCCCTTCGACATGAAGTTCGAATAATCCATCAGAAAGATAAGAAAATCACATAATTGGCCATAAATAATACTTTAAAGAAGGTATTTTTTATAATTCACTTGAAATAGGGGCATTCCTGTTTTATAAACAAAACATTATAGGGACTTATTTTTACGTCTAGTGTGACAGCTTAATATTGTGACTTGACTTCCTTTACGACGTATGTGGCTATATGATGAAGGAAACATTTTTTTTTTGTGAAGATGTCAGAAAAGTTTTCAAATATTCGCCATTTTTTATTTTTATGCATAGCCTTCATCTTGGTGTTATATGCAGTTTACCAATATGGTGTAACCAGATGCGTAGATCAGACGGAGCAGAGCATATATACAGAAAACGAATATGAAAATCTACCCACAATTTATGCTATAACCCCGACCTATGCCCGACCAGAACAGAAAGCCGAACTAACTAGGTGAGCTTCGAAAAATCAACCGAGAAATTAAAAATATAGTTTCAATTTCCGATTACTCCAAGGTTGTCCCATGTATTTATGTTGGTGCCTAATCTATATTGGATTATAGTGGAAGATTCTGATGAAAAAACGCATCTTGTAGAAAATTTGTTGGCGAGGGCCGGTTTAACACTTCGTTCCATTCAGCTACAAGTAAAAACACCGGCTGCTTATGTACCACCTAGAGCGGAACCTTATAGGGTTCAACCTCGTGGAGTGAAGCAACGTAATACAGGTTTAAGCTGGTTACGGAGTTATACAGATCCTGAAGAGCACGGTATAGTTTACTTTATGGATGACGAGAATACTTATAGCGTGGATTTATTCAGTGAAATGAGTAAAACTCAACCAGGACGTGTTTCAGTGTGGCCCGTAGGATTAGTAGGCACTTTAATGGTCGAGAGACCGATTTTAAACGATCAAAAAACGGAAATTATCGGTTTCAATACTGTTTCGCGTCCCGAGCGACCATTCCCAATTGATATGGCTGCCTTTGCTATCAGCAAAAATCTACTATTTCAACATCCCGAAGTGAGGTTTTCTTACAATGCGCACCTTGGGTATCAAGAAACTGAGTTTTTAATGAATTTAACTACACTACGCGAATTACAGCCGTTAGCTACTGAAAGCGAAGATGTCTTAGTGTGGCATACGCGGACGCAGAAGACAAAACTGACGGGAGAGGACGGTTTGAGAAAAAACGGCAGGCGCTCCGATGAAGGCTTGGAAGTCTAAACGCATGGTTGAAAAATTACATTGGAAGCGACTTGGACTTTTTTCCTTATTTTTATACACTATTTCTCTTTTTTTGCCCTTCTTTGAATATAAAATTTATAGTAAGCACATTCCTTGTCGACAATTAACGAGCTGAAGAGGTTGTTGGTGAGAAAAGCTTTCCTCGTTGGATGAACTAGAATATTAGTCACATAAGAAATTTACGGACTCTTGGGCGTTGCCCATTCACAGACCCATCTCAAAAGTGAAGAAGTATTTTCGTTGCCCATGGATACCTATTGCCACAAGAATATGTTGCAAATCCGCCAAATGTTGCGGGTTGTCGGAACGCTATTTAGGCAAAATATTTTTTTTTTATATTTTATTTACTGCGTTTATGATATTGTTATTGTAAATAAATTTCGGGCAAACCTTTTCGGGACACTAGTCATAAATTAGTTAAGAACAGAGTTTCCGAGTTGCTTTTCTAGAGAGTTTTGTTGTCGACGAGTTTCGCTCAGATGCATTTCATTACATCTCATTAAGTATACATGCCAACCAAATTCATATATCCTGCATCGTAAGTGGTGAAGGGTACAAGAATAGTTCTATGCCTAAGTGAAACACATCTAAAAGTGTTTTTTGTAGAGGTACAGTAGTTAAAGCACTATATTGTCATTTCCCTTATAATTTCTGATTAAAGTGGGGCCAGAGGTTTTTAACGTTACGTTTAAAAACAGCGTAAAGCGCAGGCACTAAGAATGAATTTTGAATGGTTGGAATAATACATGAGTCCTTTCCCCGCACATATTCTTCTTCTTCTTATTATTATTATAAATTTTTGGCAGAGAATAAATTCTGACTAGGCACTACCATCTAAGGCTTTCGCCTTTTATTAAAAACTCTACTGCCGTTGAGGTTTGAACCCACGACCATTGAGTTGCTAGTCGAGACTCTTGCCTACTCGGCCACTAATGGGGACTCAATTTCGTTTTTTTCTGATTTGTTCTGCAAAGAATCATTAGAAACGATTATTTATATAATATTTGCGCAAAACATATATTAATTGAAGCTCAAATATAAATTTCCCAAAGTCATCTAAAAAGTCAAGGAATAAGTCGAGAATGGTCGATGGTCGATGGACAGCTAAGAAACTATTCTACTATTATTGCGCATTGAATCGTCTTGAAAATGTTATAAGTTTCATATTCCTTGTTAATGATCTTTAAACGTGATATTCATATTTCTGACACCTCACCTAGGAAGAGTACAAGGAAAGGAAATTTCTTATCTTCTATTCTTCTATTGTTTTTACCTTTAATATGACAGCAAAAAGATATATGCGCACTAATCAATGTTTGCATATTTGCTATAAACTGTGTATGCCACCTAATCCGGTAGCAATTCAGCTTTGTTTAACGTTTGGTAAAGTTTCACATCAGATTAACAGTCCGACCATTCATCGAAGAGTTCCCTATCGTATTGATGTATCGATTTGTTATAAATGTTGATAGCTTTAGTTAACTCTTTACGATTGATGTCAAATGTTATTCGTACTGTTTTCGCTGTTTTCTTAAGTAAGTCATAAATTAAACGTTTTGATATCTATTTAATAAGAAATACAAATTATTTTTATTTATTTCATCTTTTTAAGTACTCAACTCATAACAAGAGTCTCAATTATAATTCATTCAGTTTTTTTATAACGTTTTTAATTCAATTTAAACAAAAGAATTCGGTTTGCAGTGCACAAAATTCAATTAAACACATATGTAGGGGAGGGATGCGGATATATTCGCTTTGTCGAGTCGTGTACAGCACCCAGAAGTAGCCTCCCGAGAGCCTACAACGTATTCCGGAATAGCATTAAATTCCGAATCGTTTTAAACGTGTTCGCTTAACGATCTGTATGTCCGTCTGTTTATCTTGGTCACAAAATCAAACTATCAACCTTAAACTTGTCAAAAAAATCGGGTGTTGTCCTAGAGAGGTTCGCATTGAAAATGGTTAAAAGCAATCAAAGGACACACCCACAGTATAATAAAAGTTGACAACACTTTTGTTTTCGAAAGCAAAATAATGGCCTTGTTTGCTCATCGTTAGTATATAGCAAAGAAAATTTTCGCGTTTATTATATGCGTGATACGGTAGTATCTGAATGAAAATGAAAAAAAATAGGTCTCTATCAATCCCACTTGAATGTATGGGGTATCAGTCTCCTGTGGATTCTTTTTAGAATTCTCGAAAGCAGCGAGACTAAGATGGAAAGTTAAGAGTGTCAGGGTGCAACCGCAAGCATTAAAAATTAATTTAAAAACACACTGGGAAAAATATTGCGAGATTCACCAAGTAATGAAATTTATTAACTGTCGATCTAATAATTTTCAAAAATATTTATTACGTGCGTGTAATTATGATAAAGGATCAAAATCCTTTTCATTTATCAATAATTGTCAAAGAAAGCTTCCTTACGCAGTTGGCTTTCAAAATACATCAGAAGAATACGGAAGAAATACTTACTATTATTATAAGAAACAAATTCTGGGATTAAGACTGCGATGGGTACTAGTATCTGAGACTATCGGCTCAACAAGTAGTTGGTAATTCTAATATATAAGAAGCCTAGAATATAAACTTAGATATTAAGATACAGAAATTCATTGCCAGGCGCTTAAAAGTGTATAACTTCTCGTGCCCTAGTTGTTCGAGCGGTTGCTCTTGCAAGCTAAGCTTGCAAACTTTACTTTACGAGTGCGTTTTGCTGGTGGCATTGGGATACCCTTACTGCCAGTTTTTCGGAAGCGCATGCTTTTCTCTTTCAAAATTTACATAGCCTGTCGACTCATCGTCTATTTGCACGTTACTATCAGCGAACCTCTCGACGTTTCCTACCATAGAAGCAGAAGCTAAAGGGCAAATTCTCTTATCTGCGACGTTGCTGTTAAAACTGTTTTGTCTTTTTTGTTCTTCAATGCTTCAAGCAGGAAAATGTTTATCCTGCCACGAATTAACGCGATTCGTCTCACGGGAAGCATAGCTTTTTTTTTATTTTTCCATTACTATTATATTTAATTATCGTCATAACGGAAATGGGAGTGGTAGACATTTATAACTAAAATCGGCAATTACTTAATTGCCAACCCAATAACCAACATACTTTCTACGCGTTATAAGCTTTGGTTAACCCAATCGAGGCACATTGGTATGTCATTGTAAATATTTTCACATCTAAGATCTTAGGGTATTTCCTTGGATTGGATATTTACTCATAAATACATATTCCAAGTATAAGGTGTGTCGTCGCACTATTGTCTGTCAAACGGTAGGTAACAAAGTAACAACAATTAATCTATAATTACCGGTTCTCCCTGACTGTGGTTAAACAAACGTAGCGAATATAGTACAGCTACTTGATAATTTGAAAACATGAAGTAGGCAAAGCCGGGCAAGCAAATGTGCCCAGGAATGGCTTTAGCTATAAAAATTTAAATAAAACGAAATGTTTTGAGCTATAAAAACTCGGCATAGAATGTTGTTTTATATTTGCTTTTAGGCATTGTAGTGCTTTTTTTTTGTATTTTTTTTTTTTTTGCTTCTCGTGTTCACTTAAGTGTAAAATATGACATGAACTGAGAAATGCGGTTTAAAGAAAAAAAAAAAAAAATAAATGAAAATAAACATAAAATGGTGTTATGCTGCCGACAAACATTGTGTGAGCAGCGACGTTAACTCCAATACCCGGTATAAAATTATATAAATTTAACGGTTTATGAGAAGTCAACCATAATGTTTTTTTTTTATTTTTTATTACATTTATTTTTAACTGTAATAACTTCATTAAGTGAAATGATTTTTTTTTAATAAAAGAAGAATTAAAAAACAAAAAAAACTTTGCATTTTTCTTGCTTGCTATTTAAATAACATGTAAACGTTTATAGAATTGTGATTATCTTCTGTGTTCTGTTTTTTTCTTTCATTTTTGGAGAGAAAAAAATCTTAAAAATGTTTTTTTTTTTTCGATTTTTCCATTTCTGTTAAGTTTGCTGATATGCCGCCAAAATTGATCGATTGTCATAAGTAATTAATTGCTGCTTGAGTGAATTTTAGGCCGTATTTTTCTAAAGTTGTGCGTATGCATATAAGCAGAAACGAGAGGACAAAATAAGAAAAAAGGAAAAGAAAAAGAAAAACCCAAAACCATATTGGAAGACATTGACGTAATCTGTTCGATTATCTGTTTATATGATGTCGCCAAGTTTTTATGTGCAAATGCGTATGTGTGTATGTTTGTATGCGCATATATATATATATATATATATATATATATACATATATATGCTTGTATGTCAAAATTAATCAGTCACGTTGATATTTTTGGTATGTGCTACCTCGCCCTATCCATAGCGATGACGCGATGGTACAAAAAACAATATCGAAGAGATATATGGCGAACATTCCTAAAGATCATTGAAAGTTTCATCCAGAATTAAAGACGAGTTGTTAAGTATGCGCAGCAAACAAGATTTCTTACATACACATGAACGCACAAAACAAAAGAAAACAAAAAAAAAAGAAAAAACGAAAAGGAAAAGGAAAAAGAAACATGCGTATAAAGTCTTTATATTCACTTGAATGTCTCGTGTGTAGCTGCGAGTATCTGTATGTAACACATATAGGGCGATTGTAAGCTGCATGCTATATATTGCATGCGGTATGCTGTGTATACGAATTTGTGTGTGAGATACAAAGAATTTGTCAACAACCATATGATTTTGTCGTCGTTTTATTTATTTATTTATCTTCTCTTTTATTTTTTATTTTTAATTTTTTTTGTTTTTTTTATATATACATAGATAAGTGTGTGTGTCCAGTACGTTTTATTTGGGATACAAACGAAATTCATTTATAAATCGATCTCAGTTAAATAAGTGAATATAAGAATTTCAGAGATATCATCGATATCGGATACACTAAAGATGGGTGGCCTTGCTGCCAATAAGATATGACAACTGTGATATCAAACAGCCAATGAGTTTTTGAAATGTTAATCAAAATATATATATGAACGTCGGGACATCGGACAAGCAAGCCTACTTAATGCAAATATATATATATATACATATAATAATAATAATAATAATAAAAATAAAAATAAAAATAATAAAAATATTGTGACGATTGTTCTCTTGAAATGCAATTCACACCTCTTTACTATCGTAAGCTGCAAATTGCAGAGAACCTAGTAGGCATACATATACATACAGGACAAGGTCTTAATGAAATATTAAGAGCGTAAGGTTGCTATTGTGTAAAGACAAAGAGTTACTGTTGACATTATCTGGA